TTTTTTTTTTTTTTTTTTTTTTTTTTTTTTTTTTTTTTTTTTTTTTTGTTTTTTTTTTTTTTTTTTTGGTGTAAAATGGTGATCGGGGTGAGCCCCGACATGAATAAAATAAGTTGGTGTGCAGTTCATCTTCTTCCTCGGTGTTGTTTTTTTTTTTTTTTTTTTTTTTTTTTTTTTTTTTTTTTTTTTTTTTTTTTTTTTTTTTTTTTTTTTTTTTTAAAAAAAAAAAAAAAAAAAAAAAAAAAAAAAAAAAAAAACCAAACCCATTGCAGGTTTTCACATAATGACCAGCACACCTTTTTATGGATTGGGCACGCCTTTTGATAGCACGCTTTTTGATCGATTGGGCACGACTTTTGAGGGTGCGACTTTTTACAACGGTCCGCCATGACCCCATAAACTGTCTTCTACAACGGTCTGACACGACCACACAGTGATTTTATCAGCAGAATAGGTTTCTATCTATTTGCTCCACTTTATCAATCCCTTTGTTTCAACCTCAACTAGGTTTCTATCTTCACACCTATTTGAGTTTGAGGGGGGGTTATACATATATCATGGTGAGCATAGTGACACACCATGGGAACCACCCAAGCCACCCCATGGCGCACTCCCTAAGTCGCCCCCTTGGTGCACAACCAAAGCTTTTACAACGGTCCGGCATGACCCCATAAACTGTCCCGACATTGATTCCGGTCAGCTTTTACAACGGTCCGCCATGACCCCGTAAACTGTCCCGACATTGATTCAGACATTATCTGCTACAACAGTGTGACACGACCATACCGTGTCTTCAACAACAATTTGACCCAACCATACAGTGTCTCCTATCCTATTTTATTTTATTTATCAGTTTACTTTCCTGTTTTGTTACTCTCTCCAAACTCAAGTTGATTAGTACCTATCCTCCTTGAGTTTGAGGGGGGCTGTTAATATATATAATATATCTACATAGATAATATATATAATCTATATACATAGATTAGATTAATGTATAGTTAGTGGCAGTAGTGGCATTGTGCTTTCGGCTGCTTTTCCTTTCTGTCCCTTTCCTATGATGGTATCTGTATAGCTTTAGCATCTTCCCATCTCCTATATATGAAGGAGTGTGTGTATCTATTGTAAATCAATCTATCAATACATAATTCATTCTCTCTCTTTTTATCTATACATTAAATCTAATACAGCTAAACAAACCCATTACTTGGAGCATTTAAGGAGTTGTCTTGTGAAATCTGATGACTGTAATAACCTGTCCAAAAAATATTAGGTCCACTTTGCTTCTTTAAATTCTCATTTCTCGTCTGTTCCTAATGAATTAATGGTGAAGTTTTTACCTCTCTTTGCGGACTCTTAAACAATGCAAACTGGCAAAACTAACCCCCATTAAGGCTGGTTGTTGTTGACAGCCATCTGAGTACATCCCTTATCCTTTCTCGTCTAAATAATTACATTTTGGTCTCTCTCTCTCTTTCTCTCATACATTATTTTCTTTTCGTTTTCTTCTGGGGTTTCAACTCCTTAGGTGTGGTTATCCTGCTGTTAATGCTTACAAAAATTCCAAGGCAATCAAGTGCTACAATTCTGATTCCTGCAAGTAAACATTACTACTTTCCCATCTTCTCGCTCTATTACCTCTGGTATATGAAATTCTCATTTCCCTTGGCTTTTCCTGTATATCATGCTCCCAGGGAAAAAGTTGCACAATACATGAAAACTAAATGCAGGGTGGTTGCAATCTTTAATGTGGTTCTGTTTGTTGTTTTGGTGACAAACTCCTCGCCATCTAGTTTGGAACAAATCAAATTATCTTTTTCTCATTAGCGAATGAGGAACAATAGATAATATGGAATATGAATTGCATTTTATATCTTCTACTGTTGAAATTGACAAAGTGTATTATGAAAGTAGCAGAATATAGATGTAACGCCCTCAAAATAATAACATTAAACCCATCAAATAAAACATTCATTGACATATGAAATATCCACAATCTTCTATTCATCAGAGTTTCATTACAAAAGTATTACATGTTAACAACAAAAGCAAAATGCCCTACGGGCTTACAGCTTTCCAAGTTAACACTTGGTTACAACAAAAGAGTACTAACTCTCTACACATTAAGCCCTCGGCTTGAATATACATGTAATACATCCAAAAAAAAAAAGAACTTAAACAACAAAAATCTGTCCGTCTCTAGCCTCCCAAGCTATGACCTTGGAGGTGGCATGCTACCTGTACCTGAAAATGATATTCCCATATAGGGTGAGCCACAGCCCAGTAGAAATACACTAAACCAAATATGAACAATGACTAAAAGATTAGCAGTTGATAGATGGCCAATACAGATATTTTCCCTTATCGCATTTTACGGTTTCATGACATACAAGTCCATATTACAGTCCATTTTCCAATTCCTTTCAATTCTCAATTTACGACCATGGCTCAGAACCTGGCCAAACAACTCATATGAGACAGTAACTCATATCAAACACTTCCCATTTCATAATAGATAAGCATACTAGCTATATCACACAACAACAGATAAGCATACAAGCTATATCATTACTTCCACAGATATGCATATGAGCATTATCATACTTCCAATGACAAGCATATGAGCTCTGTCAACACAGTACTAGATAAGCATATGAGCTCTATCTACGGAGTCCATCCCCTATCTCCTCCTAACAACATCCGGTTTAGAGGTCCATCCCCTATCTTCCCCTAAACCATGGAGTACATCCCCTATCTCCTCCAACACAACACAATGCATATAAACAATAATTATACACATCATCACGCAACACATAAATTTAACGTGTTCTTTCAATCAATCATAATCAATGACTCATTCCAGTGATTAGTTTCCGTTTGCCTAATCATCATGCATTGTCTACAACAATCACGACTATCCTCCACCGATAGCCCAAAGCAGTTATTTCTATACAGTAAATAAATGCAACAAATGGATATAAAATCGACATTTCCAACTAGGTGAGTGACATGAGATCCAACTACACCCTTTAATCCCATGTATTCCCAATCTCAACATTTCTATTTCATAACCTCATTTCTCACGATTAATTAACCCAATTAATCAAACAATGTAATTAGGGCATTCCCCATAATTAACATTACAACACTTAAGATCTCATTTTCATCAATGATTCAACATTTATTCCATTTCTCTATGCCAAACATGCATCTAGGTTTATTATAAATAAAACCCCAACTTTTGTAAAATTACACAAAAGCCCCAAACTTTCACAAAATTACCAAACCAACCGCAGCATCTCAAAATACTAAAATCTAAAGACAAAATCCATAGAGAGGAGTAGGATATCCCTACCTCAAATCCGGAGTCCCAAGAGAGAAGATGACAAAACCCAACGTGCTCCAAATCCTGAAATTTTCAGATTAAAAAGTAGCCCTCGACGATCAACAACCTTTTTGTAAAGGCCAAAGATGAGCAAATCACTCCTACTATATCAAAACCTAGAGAGAAGGTAGAGTTCTAGAGTGAGAGGCTCAACAATGGTGTTTTTGGAAAAGTAGGAGAGAGAAGAGAAAGTGAAAAAGTGATTTGAAAAGTCAAAACACAGAGCTTTAACCCAGTCGCCCAGCTCGAGCGTCCAACGCCCCGCTCGAGCGTCACTCACAGAATCCCACTCGAGTGTCCAATCCCCCGCTCGAGCTCTAGATACACACTCCCAGAACTTTTGCAGACAGGTCTCCCGCTCGAGCTTCCAACTCCCCGCTCGAGCGTCACTCACACGAACCCGCTCGAGCGGCCAATCCCACGCTTGAGCGTCGAACACTGCACAGGAAATACTGGATGGGTGAAACTCCCGCTCGAGCGCCAAAACCCCCGCTCAAGCGGACAGGTCAAAATCTGGGCAACTAGTTTTAGTTTCTAATCTCAACCAACCTGTAACAAACCTGCCCTACACATCCTATAACTCAAATACAAAGTAAGAAAGGATGTACACAAGGTAATGATCAACTACTAACATCCACGGACACATGTCCGGATCACTGTACAACAAGGGTAAATCCGGGATCGCTATAATAGATTATCATTTTATTGACCGTGTTTATATGATCAGGACCTTCTAATCGAGTTCATTTATTTTTCTTACAATTATCTGTTGTGAAATCAGTCATTAATCTACTTTGTGGGATGCTGTGCGAAACGAAATGCTGCAAGAAGCCACTCTGAAGTTTGAAACAGACCTATATATCTCAAGAAATCTTCACTTGGAGGTAAATTTGTTCACATTTCTTAAAAATCACAGTTTCTATCTGTAAGTTGTTTAACGTTGATAATTTTAGACAAATAGATACACATACACCATTGTTTCTCAAGCACTGACTGGGAAATTTATATCTGGAGCATCTCTTTTCTGAAGTACTTCAATTCTGTGAAGGTTATCATTCATGTGATTTTGTGTTAGAGAATCCAAGAAAGAATGTTGTATCCATCACATGCTTCAAAGGGAGTTATTATTATTTCAATACCTCAAAATGGTGCATTTTTTTTTTTTCTCTTCAAAATATAACACATGCTTGTAATTCAAGTTCGTTGCAAAAATCAGAAATTTGGGGACTGTTTATTCTTAGAAGGTTGATGATACATGCATCTCATCAAAGAAGAGCTAATTCCCGTTGGGTTCATAGGCAATTTCAACACTTAACGGATACTAAAAGGTCATTTCTTCCGTCTGAAAGAAGAACAGGCCAGAAGGCCCATCACCAACCGTCAAAGACAGCTTTACAGGACCTTTTGCACCTTGTTCAGCCGTGTAGTGTCCATTATTAAAGCTCATCTCTGTTTTACAAAAGCCAGGAGTAACTGAATTTATGCCAAAATTTGGGAATTTTTTAGCTAAAACCCTCGTGTAGGCATTAAGAGCTGCTTTCGAGACAACATAAGCAGAGAGAACAGACCAGCCTTTGGACTCCAACAAATCCTGTTTAGCATCCTGTAAATAACGACTCACTACCTCATCTACTTTCTCTTCTGTGAGTCCATCAACATCACTTAGTACCTCTCTTGCCCATTCATTTGTAACATTCTGCATAAAAACATTTAGTTATATGTCATGGGCTAAATTTATAGCACAGTTTAACCAGCCTTTGAGGGAAGTTTTTAACCTTTAGCTGCCCCAAACCGGATGAGACATTAACAATTCTTGCAGAACCAGAGAGCTGAAGAAGTGGAATGAGAGCTTGAGACAGCTGTTTAGGTCCATAGTAATTTGTTCGTAGACACCCTTCTGCTGTTTCATAGGTTTGTTTTATAACCTTTTTTGCCATTTCAGCCTTCTCACCTACAATCTATATCATTTTTAGAAGATTAAAATCCTTGATTTATACAATAAGCATAAATTTTTTGTTGAAACCCAGAATCTGGTAATAGACTTACCTCTCCAGACTTAAGCTTTAAACTAGTAAATGACTCCGCATCCATTATGACTCCGGTGACCCCTGCATTGTTCACCTGCCAAGAATTTACATCCATACATGTTAGTGAACAATTACCCACTAGATAGCTATAGACAAATTTAGTTTCAATCAATTTAGTTTGCTTCCAATCTTACCAATATGTCGAGCTTTCTGAATTTATTTTTGATGTAATCTGCTAAAGAAGCAATACTAGCAGAGTCTGTAACATCAAGTTGATGAAAAAAAATATCAGATAGCCCACAAGCTTTGAGATTTTCAACAGCTTCAGTACCCCTCTTCTTATCTCTAGCTGTTAAGATCACCATGACTTCATTGGAAGCTAACTGTCTACATATCTCTAATCCAATTCCTTTGTTGCCCCCTGTTACTACTGCAATCCTGAAAATCAATTAGCAAACACACAACAAAACTAAGGTGTTAGAGCTTAAATTTTCAACATTTTCAACATTTAAAATGAGAGAGAGAGAGAGAGAGAGAGAGAGAGAGATGTGCCTTTTTGGTGGTGCAGTGGTGACTGTTCCCTCCATTTCTGAATGTAGGAGATGATAGTGGTGATGAGGATGAGGTGTGTGTAGTTAATTTTGAAGTTGGAGATATCTATTTATATAAAAATAAGACTAAGAAATGAGCGTATGACACGTATGCTGTGACAACATCCTCCTTTTGTACGTAATCTGTGACATGATTGTCATATGCATGTTCAACAGGCTACTTAAGTGATAGAAATAGGATTCTAAGTTAAGTTGAGCAGTGGATTGATTCAATTTAATTTAAATTTTAGTGAGTTCAAAATGTGTTTAAATTTAATTTGCTTACTTTTTTAGGCGATTTTGAAGTTTTAAAATTAAGGAAAATTTGGTCAAAACTCCTTAATTGGACTCTTGTTTGGTGAAAAGAACAACTTAATTTATTTTGTTTCATAAACTTCCTAAGAAGAAAATACATAATTGAATAAGGACAAAGTAAAATATCTTTTTTTTTTCTTGAATAGTATTGTCAGAGTAACATGTTATTGTCAAATAGAGTAACGTGTTACTATCAAATAAAGTAACATATTACTGTTATTATTTACATTAATTTTGACGGTAATAACTTTTTTTATTATTATTTCTTTTAAAAGAATTTTATAGTCAACATAGATTTTATTTGATAGATTTTGAGGAAAGAATTCTAAAAATACTAATTTTATTAAAAAAATCGATATTTAAAGTTTAATATTTTGATAATAATGGTATGTATTGGATCTTTAAAAAAAAAAAAACATTTTATACTTGACCTTAATGTATTAAAATTTTATTATGGGAGAATTTTGACCAAATTCTCTTTTAATTAAGGTTACGTAGTTTTGTAGTACCTACAAGTTTTTTGACCCAATATTAAAAAGTTAATAATAAATTTCGAAATTTGTTCATATTTTATTTATTTATATTAAACTTTTAATGGGCCACTTGAGTTTAAGTAAATTGGTTCATTTTTCTGTGCTATATAAAAGATTCACATATTAACAATGGAATTGATTGATAGAATTTCATAGAAAAAAGGTAAAAAATTGCATTGACTTGCCAAAAAATGTGATAAGATAATAATATTTTTGGTTTTAAAATTCACAAAACTAAATATTTTTGGTTCATTTTAACAATTTTTATACTACAAATTTCTTTTAAGCACCACTACCCTATTTTTGTTCTATACCTTGGCATTCTTTTCTTACATAAATTGATCTTGCACCATGAAGGGGGAATCGCTGTTTCACAGTTGCTGCTCCTCTACAACTACTTTTCGCCTAACATAATCATGAACGAAGACACAAAATTGCGTAGATAGAAGGAAATAAATCAACCCACTTCTCCTTATCGGAATGATTGAAGAAAAAAATGAGATTGGTGACTCCTTTCACTCAGGTGACATCGTTTGAGAACATTGTTGTGAGGGGAAGCTCACTGTGGTTCATTCCAAATAAGTAGTTTTGGTTGAAGTCATTATCCGGAGAGAAAATTTATATTGTTCACATTTGTGTATACAAATTTGCATTGTGTGAACAAATTTGAACTCTTGCTTGCTTGAGAGAATGGCATTGTTTAGTATAATTTATCTGAATTGTTTATACTTTTTTTTAGGATTTTATATCATACTATTTAGTGTAGTTTTAACTTATAGGTTATTAGACAAATAATTTAAATGTGTTGAAAAAAACTTAGGGTAAACTACCAATAGGTCCTAATAGTTTGACTTAATTCTCATCAAGTCCTATTGAAAATAAGTCTTGGTAAAATTGTCATTAAAAATAATTTTTGTGACAATTTTTTAAATATGTCGCTAAAAATTGATAATTACTGATTTTTTTTTGTCATGATTTTTATAAATTGTCGCTAAAACTTACAATTAGTGACTTTTTTTATGACAAATTTTTCTCATAGAACCTATTAGACAATAAGTCCACTTATTAGGACCTACACGTCAGTACCCCAAAAACTAATTGTCTAAAGCTACCAAATAGGCATTAACTTGATGTGTACCATTTAAGTGTGCAACCCCCTTAAGGTTGCACACCGTATGTTAGGAAGCACGGGTGCGGGTGCGTGTACGAGTACGGTGAGGGTACGAGTGCGGGTACGTCAATACGTCAAAACTCAAAAAAAATATGATACAAGTATGGCTGCAGTATGTCGATATTTATTTATTTTTTTTTTATAATTATGGTTAAAGGATCCAATCTACAAATTAAAGTTAAATATCAAAACTAAAAAGAGGAATTACAAAACTAAAAGACAAATATTAATATATTTCAATTCAACAATGCCAACACCAAAGGAAAAACAATGCCAATTCAGTCCATAATGCAAGCAAAGGAAAAAACAAAAGAAAACCCTGTATATCTAAACTTGACACTTCAAAGTTTACTTTCATCAACTTCATCATTGAATAAAATAACTTCCATCTCTGGCTCATCAAGTGAAAAATTTGCAATTTCAAGGAAACCAGAACCCTCCAATGAATCAAATGCATCTCCCCCTATGTCCCATAACTTGGTCTCTCCTTCTGTGTATAGTTGACTCCTCCTTGATAAGAGGCGAATATTGGAGTGCACAAAAATCAAATTCTCGCACCGTTATGGTGTCATTTTATTCCTTCTCATAGAGTGAATGAAAGAGTAGGTGCTCCAATTCCTTTCACAACATGATGAGGAACATGGTTAGCCAAGTAATTTCACTGCCAAGGATTGAAGCATAGGTGCAGAAGAGTCATGTGCCAACCACCAAACCATTGGTTCCATTACTCCTCTATCACATATTGAGTCAAAGTCTTCAAAACTTTCTAAACAACCTGAAAACTTTGCATGCTCTGTATTAACAGCCTGTCTCTCATCTGAATTAGGAAAGTATCTCTTAAAACCCTTGATTCTCATCTCAGAAATTTCAACATCTTTGTGAGGAGGAACACAAATGGGATTTTCATAAAGCCACATCCCACTATAATACCTAGATTTCATAATTAGAAAAAAAATAAAAAAAGAGTAAATTATGCAATGGAAAAAAATTAAAGTATAAACAATGAGTCTAATGTGAATTAAACCTTGGATTCAAAGAATGAGCAAGACAATGAAGAGGTGTGCTACTTTTTGTCCACCTTTCCACTAATATTTGATGCACTACAGAGTAAAAGGACGACTCTTCTGACTTCCCTTCACACCTATAGATGGATTCCGTCACCCATTCAATCACTGAATCCCACATCTCATAAAACAAATGTAGACATGGCTTATCGGTGTCACGAAATCTGAGCATCTCATAAATAGGCAATGTGAATGAGAGTATTTATTCAATCTTGTCTCACCAAATATCATTCAACAACTTTTCCTTTACAACAATTTCTTTCCCAACATCATCTTCCTTGTAGGAAGCCCATTTTTCACTTATCACCATTGTTTGGAGACCACGATATATAAGTTTAAACCTTTTTAGCATAACAATTGCAGATGCAAGGCGTGCATCTGCAACAGAAAGTAGCTTCAAAGTTACAAACTCATTAAAAATAGCTAATCTCATAGAATGATTCATCATGAAATTTTTCACAAACATTATATCATCAATCACAATAGTGATCCAATGGCATTCATCATAAGCATATGCAACAACTCCAATTCCCTTCGCAGCACAAATGTTCTTAAAAGCAAGATTAAGAGTGTGCACTACACAAGGTGTCCAAAAGATCTTCGGATAATTACCTTGAATAATTGATCCAGTTGCACTACAAACAGGAGCATTGTCAGTAATTACTTGAATCACATTATGAGGGCCCACTTCATCAATCACTTCACCAATTAATTTGGCAATATGATACTTGTCCTTGATCTCACCCTCACAATTAACAGCTTTTATAAACATAGCTCCACCATTAGATGCTGCCATAAAATTAATAAGAGGTCTCCTTTGTGCATCAGTCCATCCATCAGATACTATACTCAACCCCTTCTCATCCCATGCCTTTTTAGTTGGTTCCAATAACCTTTCAATAGTTGCCCTTTCTTTTTGAAGTAAGGTAGTCCTCAACAAATTATATCCAGGAGGGACATACCCAATAATTTGATTCTCAGCAGCATATTGAAAAGCACCCACAAAGTATGGATTCCTAGCCAAATAGAAAGGCAAACCAGTTGAATAGAATATACGAGCAATTAAAGAATGTAAATGTTGTCTAGCACTTTGATTAAATGCCTTATCTAAAGGACTACTCCCAATTGCCTTTCTCTTTCTTGGTGCATAACCTTCCATTCTAAATGTTCGAACATCTTCTACGCCGCCATGGCTAGTACTAATTTGAGAAGATGGAGGTGGTAAAGGAACATTTTTTGGCTTTGCCATCTTTTTTTGATTCTCAACTTCTTGATCTGCCTTTTGAATTTCAGAAAGAAGATCACTCTTGTCCTTCACAATTGCACACACTTTAATTTCATGGCCAGTAAGTAGCAACAAATGGGCTCTAACTCTAGAATATGACCCTTGGAACTCAATGTTACAAAAATTACACTTAAATTTTGTATTACAACTTCCTCCTTCCCCCCTTTTGACTAATTTTGTAACATAGCCCCAAAGAGAAGCATTTTCATCTCTAGATTGATCAATGGAAGGAGCAGAAGAAGCATTTGCAGACGAACCTAAACTGCTTGATGAACTCATTTTCCTATAATTTAAAATCATTAAGCATTAAAAATAATATTTGTGAAATCTCTCACTTTGATATGTTATGCACTGTGAATCTGTAAGCATAATTTATTTTTAAAATCGTTCTTTTTGCTCATCAAATATTTAAATAATAATTTGGATAGATCTAATATATTGCATATATTGAATAAAATATATATTCCAGTGACAAGTATCATATTGCATATGTATATATATATATGACATATATTAGAAAGAAAAAAAAAAACAGGACAAATCTTAGTTCTGTGAATCTGTAAGCATAATTTATTTTTAAAATCGTTCTTTTTGCTCATCAAATATTTAAATAATAATTTGGATAGATCTAATATATTGCATATATTGAATAAAATATATATTCCAGTGACAAGTATCATATTGCATATGTATATATATATGACATATATTAGAAAGAAAGAAAAAAAAAAAAAAACAGGAC